TACAAAGGGGAGCTTGTACATCATAATAAGGGCTATAGAAATATTTTTTTTGGTATAATAAATATGATGGTATAATAAAAGGCACACAAAACATACGTGAAGAGATATTACTCCACTGTCCCAACATAGTACGAATTTGAGAGTCACAATGTAATTTTAATTGTGAATTTAGATATATAATTTATAAAAATATTTAAAATATAATTTATATATTTGAAAACTACATACAAAATATTACAAAATATAATATTTAAAATTCTAAAATAATTTTTATTTATTTATGTCTAAAAAACACCACATAAATTAAAACGGAAGAATATTAAGAAGTATGAGACATTAACTCAAGCGAAAACAACCCTCAAGGTAAAGTTCTAGAAAGTGTTTGATAGATTTTGGATCATAAATAGTACTCTATTTATTTAATCTGTTTATTTAATTTTAAGGTGATATGAAATTTTTAAAAATATAAAGAAGATTTTAATTATTTATTATTTTAAATAAAAGATTTGTAATTCATTCGTTTCAACTTATTTGTCATATTTTAATTTGATATGAAGTTTAAAAAAGTAAAAAATAAAATCTTTTAAAGCTTGTGATATGAAAAATTGAAACTAAAAATTGTTAAAAAAGATATTCTCTTTTAAACATATTTATAAGGATGATAAGATAACCAAATTGCAACAGATAAAAAATGGAATAGAATGTATAATGTATATGTATTATATGCCGTTTAAATTTGTGATCTTATGAAAATTGATATTAAATAATTATCAAAAAAGAAAAAAAAGCATAAAATAAGTAATAAATTGGAACGGAATATATATGCTATCTTTCTTTTTTTTTGTTTCCCCTACTCGGTGAATAATTTGGAGTCTCGAATAAATTCAAATTGCACATTATAAAATCAATTTGAGAGTGACACTCTTAATAAAAAAAAATCGTAACTAAAGTTCGAATTCAAAATTTTTAATTAAGTTGGAAACTGTTATTACTTTACCACAATCTATATTGCTGAAAAATACATACTAACCATATGCAAGTGCAGTTTTTATTTTTCGAAAATAATGAAAGTAATATTTTGGCTTAAGTCATCGACTGCCCTTTAAAGTTGTCCGCATAATTCACTTAGACACCTCAATTAAGACTTGTACCTATTGAACACCTAAATTATTCAAAACATGTACCTATTAAACACAAAATGCTGATATGACAAAAAATGTGTTTTGCACTTCCCTGAAGCGTGTGAAAAGATTCAAAATAGTGTCTTTTTGATTATTTTTTTTATGTTTTTTCTTCTTTTATTGACACTTAGCATTATGATTAACTTAAAAATATTTTTCTTCTTTCATTTACACTTTTTCAAAAAAGAAAAGAACTCCACTCCCTACCTATCATTTTCTTCATACTTTAGTTTGCAAAACTTTCTTCATTTTAGCTCCAACATTGTTTTTCTTTCTTTTTTATAAAAAAAGGAATATTATTTCTTCCAAATATGAAGATAAATGAAAATCAACTATGAAGATTCAGATTTGAAAGAAAATCTTACTTTCTTTCGTATGATTTATTTCAAATCTCATAAAAATAAGAAACAAATATGAAGAAGAAGAAAGAAGATAAATGATTTTTACCTATAAAAAAAGTTAGCCGATATTTATTTATCACAATTTTCTAACAAATTTTTTTACTCAAATTCATATATAAATCCATTAAATTTATCAAAAATGACATTCAAAAATTTGAAAGAATTAATTTTTGAGCTATCAATTTCATTTTGTCATCGATGTAGAAATGAATAATCACCGGTAAAATTTTCTTTCTTCTTCACTCTTAGTATGAAAATGTATATATATCTTTTTTAAAAGCTAATCTTCAAGTTATTTGAAAAGAATTAGGTTTTGTAATTTGAGAAAGAATGTGTTTTGAGAAGAAGATGAAGATGAAAGGGGGTTGGGTAAGGGTGGGGTTGGGTAGAATAGGTTGACATTTTCATTTTTTTCTTTTTCTTTTTTAAAAAATTAGATATAAAAAGTGTTTGAAATAATTTTAAAACAAAATTATTTTTTTTATAATTTTCGAGGCCCAGTGCCACATGTTATTTTTTAATTAGCCGTTGTGTCACGTCACCGCAAGTGTATCACACACTCTTCATATATTTTGTTGATTATCAAAAAATGCCTAATAGGAACAATTTTTGAATTGATAAAAATGTTCAATAGGTACTAGTCTTAGTTGAGGCGTTTAAGTGAATTATGCGAACAACTTTAAGGGGTCGTTGATGACTTAAACCTACTCCCTCCGTTTCACAAAGAATGATTTGCTTTCCTTTTTAGTCAGTTTAAAAAAGAATGACCTCTTTCCTTTTTTGGTAACATTTTACTTTTTGCTTTCCACGTGACATGTTTAAGACCACAAGATTAAGGACAATTTTGTACATTTGACATAACTTTAATTTAGGACCACAAGATTCAAAAGTCTTCTTTATTTACTTAAACTCTGTGCCAAGTCAAACCAGGTCACTCTTTGTGAAACTGAGGGAGTAATATTTTTGTGTGGGCAAGAGTCCTATAAGATGGTCCCACCCATTATTTGTTTTTCTATTGCTGCCACGTTTCGATCGCCGCACCTACATTACATGAAAGGGCTGCACTACCTCAAATATATTTTAGGTGCGTGCATCTGAAATTTCTTGTCAACAAGAAAATAATTTTATTTTACAAAATTCAACTTCCAAATCTACTTTAAATAAGTTCACAAACATAAGTTTCATATTTTTTCAAAACTAATCTCAGTCATTAATTTATTAAAATAACAACAAATTTAGCATTTTAATTTTCTGTGTATGTTTACACTCAGTCATATTAATTGAAATCATATTAAGTAAGCTAAAATTTCAAATACGTATGTGCAGAAGCAAAAACAAAAGAAGCGAATAAAAAGTATGTACACTTTTGCTTGAAAGTTAACTTATATGGTGTATTCATGAAATTATAAAAACATATATAAATATTTTATTTCTTAGTTAAAAGAAGCTATTAAAATAGTCATCCCTATTATATGTGGGATTCCAATACCGTTCAAGACTAGACATCTCAATTATGAACAATATAAAATGGTGAGCTCAATATTTTTTAGTAATAAACTAAGATGAGATTAATTTAATATCATATAAAAAAAAAAATTCTATGAGAAAATCAAGTAATCCATATACATCTGACAAGACTCAAGAGACTCTAAACAAAGTCGTTATCAGTATATTTTCTTTTAGAGAAACGAAATATTTTGCGATTTTTATGTCTAAATTGTTTGTTAATATTGATCTTAATAACGTGTAAATAATGCCAATATATTTATGACCCTTTTTATTTTTGCACAGTATAATGTTTTTGTGAGGAGCCATTACATTTTATTACTTAGGTCATCTATTTTGTCCATCTTGTTATCATTCACATGAGTTCAAGTTTTATATCATTTATAAATATAATAAATTATGTTATTTATAAATCAATTATTAAATAAAAACAATATTTCCTTCGTTACACAAACGTTTTCCTTTAATTTCTTCATTTTGAAATGTTAAAGAGAGATTTATTAATTTATTCTATTATTATTTATTATTAACTAATTACATAGAGTACTAGCATTCAAAATCAAATTTCTAAAATATATAATTTACTAATATAAGTAACTTGAATAAATAAACCCTTAAAATTATTCCTTAAAAAAATGTCAAGTAAATAGAGGACTAATAAAAAGGAATGGAGGTCAATTTTATATTTTTATTTTCTTAAAAGAGGTGTTTGGCCAAGTTTTTCGAAGAAAATAAGTATGACGAAAAATATATAATTTAAATGTATATTATTTTTCAAAAATGCTTTTGAACATCACGATAAAGAAATTAACTACTATCTACTGACGGTGGACAAGAAAATTACGCAATCAACTCATTTTTAGAAATACTTATTTTTCTTCTTAGTTTAATTAATATATTTTTGCATTTAATGATTAATAATTTTTTTTTCTTTCTTTTATTAAAACACGTTGAGGTTTATCATCTTTCTCCCTCTCTCTTTCCTACCTTTCTCATCTGTCTTTGGATCTTCTTCTATCAATATCAAAATATTTTGCAAAATTCCAGAAATGGTGTGTCTATTTTTCCAAGTGTAAGATTACTACATTTGATTTTTGGGATTTGTCCAATTCATTGCAAAGTTCTAAAAAGCATTCTCTAAATATCTTTGTTACCACAAAACATAAAATCCTTCATACATTGGAACAAGAAAAAAAATCTTTGAAATAACATTGAAATATTTTTTATACAATCGACTTTGAGTATTTACTAATTTTAGAAAGTTTGATCAAACATCAAATATGGCTCAAAATTAATTTTTTAAAATGTATGGACCAAACACAAATTGCGTCTTATCGAAAAAAATTGAAAAATAATACTCCTTCTGTTTAAAAAAGAATGACCTTATTTGACTTGGAACAGAGTTTAAGAAAAGAAATAAGACTTTTTAATCTTGTGGTTCTAAATTAAAATTATGTCAAATGTACCAAAATGCCCTTTAATCTTATGGCTTTAAAATGTCACGTGAAAAGTTGAAATTAAAGTGTTGCCAAGAAAAGGAAATGAGTCATTCTTTTTTAAAGATAAAAAATAAAACTAGATCATACTTTTTGAAACAAAACAGTAATTTAAAACTAAATAATTTTAGAAATTTACCAAAACAAAATATAATGTCACACTCCATAGTCCCACATCCCCATCATTTGAGATTAGACAAAATTGTAAAATGTAAACACATGTTTGGAATTATACAAGTCAATTTAATTGCATTTAAAAAAAAATCATAGAATGTAAATACAACTTGACATATATTAAATTATAAAAAACAAATAAAAGAGAGACAAACCTAGACAAAACCAAGTGGGCATATCAGAGAGATAAATCTAAAAGAAAAAAAAGAAGAAGCAAAATAAGCAATGCAACCCCAAGCCAGCCAAGAGATTCCCATTTCTTGGTGTGGTGTAAGTATCCCCATTTGCCCCCACTTTAGTGGTTTATAGTCTATCCCTTCAACACTTTCAACCAAATCAACAAACAATTTCCTTTTTCTTTTGAACACAAAAGAAACTTTGACACTTTACTTCACATTTTTTCATTTTCTTCCCCCAAACAAACAAAACCAATATGTTTTCTAAACTCTTGCAATAATCATAATCTTCTTATTCTTGAACTTCTATTTCTTTGGTCTTTTACATCTAAAACTAATTTATTTTCTTTCAACTCAAATAATGACGGACAGAGTCTACCCTTCAGCCAAGCCTAATGGCACCGCGCCCACTGCTACCACTGCTGCAAATCCAAATGCTGCTCCGGTCAAGAACCAGATGTACAACAACCCAAATCGTGTCTCTTACCGACCGACACCAACAGCATACCACCGACACAACCGTCGTCGTTGCAGCGGCCGGCGTTGTGTCTGTATGTGTTGTTTTTGGTCCATCCTCATCATTTGCATCATCTTCCTCCTTGCAGCTATTGCTGGTGCTATTTTCTACGTTCTTTACCATCCTCAACTGCCTACATTCTCAGTTTCTTCACTCAAGATCTCTAATTTCAATCTCACTACTTCCTCCGACGACACAACCCATCTCACTACAAAATTGAACCTCACACTCTCAACCAAAAACCCAAACAAGAAATTGATATACAACTATAACACTATCTCTATTACTGCACTTTCAAATCAAGTTGTTTTAGCAAAAGGGTCGTTTCCGGGATTCACCAGCAGTACAAATAACATTACGATTATACACTCGACTTTGTCGATGGTGTCGCAAGTACTCGATGTTGATTCAGTTTCATCTCTAAAATCAGATCTGAAGAGAAAAGCTGGGTTGCCCGTGACAATCTTGATGGATACTATGGTAGAAGTGAAAATGGACAAATTGAAAAGCAAAAGGGTAGGGATTAGAGTAACGTGTAAAGGAATTCATGGATCGACACCAAAGGGTAAAGCACCAGCTGTGGCATCAACAAATAATGCTAAGTGTAAGGTTGATCTAAGAATCAAGATCTTGAAATGGACTTTCTAATTTCATCTCAATTTGGTTTGACTTTTTTTTTTTTTTTTTGGGTTTTAAGTATAATCATAGTAATTTCTTTTGGGGTTCAAATTGACTCCTCTGTTTTTTTTTTTTCTTCTTTTGAGATTTGTTTGTAAACTTAAGAAGAGACTAGGAAGATTGCCAAAGTTAAGTTGAGTTTTTTTCCTAGAATTGTGAAGAAAGTTGGGTTGGAATTATAAGTTCTTTTCGATTATGCATTTAGTTAATTGTAGTCAGACTTAAATTCATTCAAGATCTCAATCACAAATTTGCACTTTCTTGAAGCATATTGATGCTCTGTTTTTTTTTTTTTTCGCTCAAAACTATATGTTTACAATTGCTCGGTTTTTTTCTTTAGTTACTATAGTATGTTAAACAAAGTAGAAATTGTGGTGAAAATGAGGATTTTAGATGAATATAGTAATATAAAGTTGAGATGGAGTCATTAAGAAGAGTTTAATGAGTAATAATTATTGGTTGTAAGATTGTTTATAAATGAACATGGGATGTGGGGAGGGTACAGTAGTCAGCTGCTGAGGTGCTAAATTCAATGCAATTCTTAAAATAATGTGCGACTCTTCCGCTGCGCACGTAAGTATAATAATTACTCTCTTAAAGAAACTATAAAAAGAAGATTAGTTACTATATCATCTTTTCAATATAACAAATATAATGTCTTATAAAAAATATAATAAGAAAATGATTATAATTAATGATTAGGATAAGTTATAAATTAAGTATAAAAGTATTCATTGATTTCATAAAGTTGACAAGAATTGTTGTACATTCCAAAATGGTATAGTGGACAACTATTGTTGAACGGACGAAAAAATAAGAGTTCCTCTTTGATCTATGTCTGTGTGTTGTTCGCAACAAATTTCCTTAAGCGCTGAAAATCAACTGCAAGCAAAATAAATAAAAGAAAATGTGATTTTTATTGATGAATCTTTGTGAGTACAATTCTGTTGTTCTCTTGATTCTTCTCTCCTAAGTTTCTCCGTGATTCGAGGGCGTTCAGTAGCGTATTTCTCGAATGTAGGATGATGTAGACCTCCTTGAGATGTATTTGATCTCCGGGAACGTCGGGAAGCACTTTGTCGTTGCAAGTCGATCTCCGGAAAGAACTCCGTTGATGACTCCTTCGAAGAGTTATGTAGTTGATGATGTAGCTTCCTCCAATTGCAGAATGCTTGTTGAAGAGTTTTCTTGATCCCCTTTAGAATGTCATGTCCATCCTCTATTTATAGTTGTAGCGGGTGGACAAGGTTACTTTTGATTGGCCAAAGGATGTCATTTTGACACTTGGCATGTTGTGATTGGTTCTTGCATTTGACTGGGACTACCATCTCATTTGGACACGTGGCGTCACCTTGTTGGTCTTCGATGCGTAGTCACTGTGACATGTGGCATGAGTTTGGGCTTCAAGGTGAAATGGATCTTGGACTTAAATTTAATAAAAATGGACTTATTTATTTGTAAAGCCCAAATTAATCATTCAACCCAAATAAACATGGATTTAATTCAAATTTTGTATGAATTAAATCCAATAAAATCTGCGTGTCTATAGATGCCTCCTACTTCAAGCCTTGTTGAAGTGTAGGTTTGCCGACACTTGGTGACAAGACTTGAAGTATTCATGAATGTGTTTTCATTTTTTGAGATTTGTCAACGTGTAGGCTTGCCGAATTTGACGACGAGAGTTCAAGTCTTCATGAATGTGGTTTCCTTTTTTTTTTTTTGAGACTTGTCAACCTGTAGGCTTGTCGAATTTGACGACAAAAGTTAAAGTCTTCATGAATGTGTATGCATTTTTTTGAGACTTGTCGACGTGTAGGCTTGCCGAATTTGACGACGAAAGTTAAAGTCTTCATGAATGTGTATTCATTCTTTTTGAGACTACTCTACGTGTAGGTTTGCCGAATTTGACGACGAAAGTTAAAGTCTTCATGAATGTGTATTCATTTATTTGAGACTTCTCTACGTGTAGGCTTGCTGAATTTTGACGACGAAAATTGAAGTCTTTATGAATGCATTGTTGAGATTCAAGAGTATTTGTTTCTTGTCGTCGCATTCTAACTAGGTCACTACAAATGATTTGTTTGTAGTGATCTCAATTTTTTTTAAAACATTCTTGCTTGACAACCACGTGGACCCTCTATGATTTCAAATAGATGGGTCTAGTGAGTAGTAACATTGTGTGATCTTCCTTGCAAGGTGTGAGAAAGAACAAGAAGATTGATTGAATTTTGAATCAAATAAAAGGAATATCAACTTTCCTTTGGTTGATTTTGTAAGAATCATTCTTGACATCTCAAGACTTATTGCTTTCCTTTTGAGTGCTGGCAACTTCCATTTAGATGGGTAAGAATTGATATGATTTCCTTCTTCCAATCTTACCACAACTTTCCTTGTACAAAGAATGAGAGTTGTTCAAAGGAACTTCTATATAAGAATCTCTCATGTACAAAGGATTGATCAAAGAATCATTGAAAAAAAAGTAATTCTCCTAACCAAATCAATGTGGAACTCCAAATTTGGTTTGTTCTTTTCTCAATTTCGTGCAGTCCCGCCAAAATGCTTTTTTCTTGGTATAAAAGAATTCAAACGACGAGCGACTTGAATCTGGAGAAACTAGACTTATAGTACTACGACATATCCAAAAATCAACGTCAAAAACCTTTTGTAATGACGGGAATTGATTTTTGAAGTTGGTCATCAAATCTGGAAGTTCTCCTCATAATTATGTGCAATCTCGCCAAAACGTCCTTTTCTCGGTGTAGCAGCATTCAAACGACAAGCGGCTTGATTCTGGAGAAATTAGACTTTTGGTACTACGATATATCCAAAAATCAACGTTAAACACCTTCCGGATTGACAGGAATCAAATTTTGAAGTTGGACCCCAAATCAGTTCTTCTCACAGCTACGTGCAATCTCGCAAAACCATCCTTTTCTTGGTGTAGGAGCTTTCAAATGACAAGCAGGTTGGTTCTCAAGAAACTAGACTCGTAGTACTGTGAAATGTCCAAAAATCAATGTCAAACTCTTCTTGAATTGACAGAAATGATTTTTGAAGTTGGTCTTCAAATTTTGCCGTTTTCCTCACAGATTTGTGTCTTTTAGAGTTTTCTTGTTTCTCTTTCTTGCAGGTAATGGTTGTGGTTGCATCTTTATTTATGCATTGACATGTTTCTTAGACACCGGGAGATTGATGTTCAAGATCCAATTTGACCGTAATTCAAAGCTTCGTGTTACTGGCACGGGTATGTCGAACAAGATTGTTGTGCTGCTGCTCACGTTTGTCATGCCATATTGAAGGGTCATGAACTTACTACATGTGTTATCAGAAGTAGATCAACCAAGAAAAATTGAAAACTTCGTGCAATTGGCACCGATGACTCCAATATTTTTTTTTCATTTCAGGTTTCTGAGAGAGGTTAAATGTCTTAGAAGTTGCACGAGTTGTTCATATGATTGGCGTGGAACCACTCATCTCATCCTAGCAATGTTGGCAGAAAACTCACTCAAGGCATTCACCTTCCTTGCAGCCTTGGTAAAGAGAACTTGCCCCCTCCATTTCATCCCCTTTTTGCGGCTCCACGAGAGAAATATTTGGAGTACTTTCATTTCATTTCCGACGAGAAAGCACCCGGTGTGAGGATGGCGAGAGAAACACTTGGTGTAGGCCTCCAAACATCAACGAACTAGATTGTGGATAATCTCATTGTTCATGCTATAGTGTGGACTGACATCTTCCTTTCAATTTGGAGAAGACCTTGGACCAATCTTATGACTTCTTGGAAGTACATGGAGCTCGAATTCCTTACACTTTGTGATTCCAACTTTGCACGATTATGGTAGAAAATTCATAACTTGGAGTATGAATAGTGAAATCATGTGCTTCTTGTTCCGTTGGAAAAAAAAACTCAAATAACTACAGTATATGTAAAAATCACGGCCAATGACTATATGGATTAGTACCAATATCGCTTCAAAGTCAGGTCACAATTTTGTATTTCTCGGCTTTTCAGCTTCGCGCGTCTGTAGTATAAAATTCATAACTCAAAGTAGGAGTATTGAATTCACGATTTTCTTTTTCCGTTGGAAAGACAACTCAAAGAACTACACAATGTATAAAAATCGTGGACAAAGACTTTGTGGATTGGTACTGATATCGCTTCAAAGTCAACTCACGATTCTGCCTCGCTCAACTCTTCAGCTTTGAGCAACTTTGGGAGAAAATCAATAACTCTGCGTAGGAGCCTCGAAATGATGTGATTCTTATTTAATTGGAAGCATAACTCATAGACATACAACATATGTAAAAATCACGGCCCAAAGAATTTCAGATTAGTACATATTTATTTTCAAAGTTAGCTCAAATTCTGCCTCGCTCCACTCTTCAGCTTCGTGTAACTCTGGGAGAAAATCAATAACTCATCGTAGGAGCCTCGAAATAATGCGATTCTTGTTTCATTGGAAGCATAACTCATAGACGTACAACATACGTAAAAATCAAGGCCAAAACCTTTACGAATTTTCACAAATATGTCTTTGAAGTCTGCTCAGTTTAATTTCGAAATCTAATGGTCTATTTCGCAGCTTTGTGCAGTCGTGGTAGAAACTTCATAACTTGGTGTAGAAACCTCTGAATCACGAGCCGATTTTTATGTTGCAAAGTAGACTCCAAGAACTACAATATTTGTGAAAATCATGGTCAAAACCTTTGCGGATTTTTTCTTGCTCAACTCTTCTCCTTTGCTCATTTATGACACATTTGAACTCATGTGCTAGCTACATAATTTTAAAGAGATAGTGTGATGATCACGCAATGCCACCAAACTCCTTTTTTTTTACTCATGTGACTGAGCTTAGAGTGATTCTCCAAGCGCCTACGTACCTTGGTGAAGAGGATCAAGTCATATCGTAGTTCATGATGATGAGTTTTTTTTTTTTTGGCCGTACACATTTTATACTCTTGCGGGCCAGGAGTAACATGTAGTTTATGCTCGTACCTTAAGGATCGTTGTAACATGCAGTTTAGGCTCGTACGTTGAGGAGCATTTCAACTTGCAGTTTAGGCTCGTGCATCGAGGAGCATTTCAAGGAAGAATTCCATTAATGTAATTGTCCTTCTAACCTTTTGTGATGAAGCATTAATGTACTTCGATTTGGTGTTGGATTTTATGCTTTCGCATTGTCGAAGCTG